TACAAATATAGATAAAGATCACACTTTTTTGGTGTTATGTATGTTTTTTAATCACACCTTTTAAGTTTTATTAAAGTGTGGTCTTTAGGAGTGTGATTAAAAATGGTCATTTTTAATCACACTTTTTAAGTGTCATTAAAAAATGCTTTCATCACATCTTTTAAGTGTGATTAATAATATTTACATCACACCTTTTAAGTGTGATTAAAAACATTTAGATCACACCTTTTAAGTGTGGTTAAAAATATTTAGATCACACCTTTTAAGTGTGATTAAAAACTTTAGTTCTCACCTTTTAAGTGTGATTAAAGACTTTAGATCACATTTTTTAAGTGTGATTAAAAACATTTAAATCACACCTTTTAAGTGTGATTAAAAACTTTAGTTCACACCTTTTAAGTGTGATTAAAGACTTTAGATCACACCTTTTAAGTGTGATCAAAAACATTTAGATCACACCTTTTAAGTGTGATTAATAACTAATAAAACCTGTGATAAAAAAAAAATTTGACATATTTAAAGAATAATCAATATTATTTTTGCACGCGCATTTAAATAATGTAATTCACACTATATACTATATTTCGAATCACAACCATATATTGAATGAAATAATATCATATATTTCATAAATGAAAGTAAAATGTTTAAAAGTATATACAAAGAAATTAATAAAAAAAAAATTAACTATGATTACATACATTAAAAAATAAAAAATAAAAATAAGTTCTTGAATTCTTTGACCATATTTTGCATCTCTCCAAGAAATTTCTAACCTGAAAAATAAAAAAAACAAATTAATTTAAAAACCGCCAGAAGCATATGAATAAACTTACTAATTAATTTATAAACTTACATTTAAATCACACCAAAAATAATGTAATTTATCCAGTTGTTAAACTGCCCCCAATCCTTTCCCCATAGCCACCAAAAATGACATAATTATTTTGATTCTCCACATAAATATCAGTAAAACAGCACCACAAAAGAAGACAATATGCAACAATGCAGAAAGGATCACATAAATGATAAAATGGAGTATTATATGGACAATCAAAATCATATGATATCAACATAACTCACTAAAAACTATAAAACAAATAAGGATCAATAAAGCTTGTTGGTCTTAAAAGCAGAAACCACATAGCCTGAATAATTACAAATTGGTACACCCATCGATGGAAACATCACCGTGAAAGGTTTTCCTCAAGATCAATAGTACACCCATCAAATTTCCAAATATAACTGCATGCTTAAAAAATAATTCTATGTAGACAAGATATTTTAACAAAACTGGTAAAAATGCATACTTCTCTGTTAGTACCAAACTACCTATTCATATGGGTTCAACTCTGACACAAACTGAGATGCACATGATATCCAGAACCAATATCATCTAATGCATACCTGGGGCAAACAAAAAAATGGAGATAACAGTTAAGAGACATAGCTTGAAGAAGAAAATTCTGCAGGTGAAGAAATGAGTGAAGTTTAACCAATATCAGATCCTTGTCAAGGATCTTCACCTCTCCCCCAAGATGTTCTAGCCAACACAGAGCAGGGAACATATATGGTCTGGTTCCCTTAACAAACCTGAGTTAGATTAAAATTCACATCAAACGGATCGAGAAATACCTATAATTAAAATTCACATCAAAAGGATGAAGTAAACAAAAGTCAATTAAAATTCACATCAAACAGATCGAGAAATACCACCTGGCATAAAAATCAGGTTTGGGCCACGGTTTGTTTCTATACTTTAACAGAATAACATTGGCATCCCACATATCATATCCATTCCTTTTTGTCTCTTTTTCAAGAGACTATCCACATAAATGCCTCACCAAGAAAAACAACAAATTACCTCCTCTGGTGGAGGAGAATAAAGAGGACTCCACTAGATTCAAACACCTAGACACAACATCCTCTAAAGCAAAATTGATGACTGCATTTACCAAAGTACCATTCTAGAGAAGGGCTTTGGAGGTCCTTGTATCTCTTATAATTGGTTTCAAAATAATGCAGTAAAAGTAGTTTCAAAGGTTTCTGTAGTTGGCAGTGCCAATATGGGTTAATGAAAATTAAGAAGAACTTTTTTGCATTCTCTGAAATTAATAAACATAGGACAAATCAGGCCAATCCCAAGCGTGTGCACGTGCACGCGCGCGCACACACACAAAAAAAAAAAGCACAGTTCATTTATAGGACATTGTGACACAATCTAAAAGCCCGAATTGTCACATAAAGATCACATAAATGGATGCCCACCAAAAATAAACAACTTTGAATTTTTATTTAATGTGGGAGTGAGTCAGAGGCAGATGGATTCTTATAAAGAGTTATCTAGTTAGTTATTTTTAGGTTCTTGAAAAAGCCTTGACCCTCATAGTATTTAAACAGGAATAGCTAAATGATGAATAAAAATTGGAAGGAAATTCAAAAGAACCTTGAGTATTGCAACACGTCCTCCTACAGTTCACATTCTGCTATTATTATCCTCTACCTTCCGTCCACCTTATGATTTTAAACAAATTAATCTAAGTTCAATACAAAAGGGTAAAAATGTTTAATTATGACCTCTAAACTTGAGAAATTTATCGTGCCAAATTTTGCCAGGTTTGTAATTTTCTTTATCTTTTTATGAGATTTCTTTACTAAATCAAGGTAAACCTAAAGATTGAATGCATTGCTTTGTTAGAGAACTAGCAAGTTTAACATCAAAGATAGACATCCCAACGTATTGTTCATTGTAATCTTCAATATCTTACCTGAGAATAAACGGAGGCTAGATATGATGCTTCCTTTGAAAATGGGTAGGATGCATGTAAAAGTACTAAGCGGCACTTAGAGAATCTCTTGTCCTCAAGTTTGAAACTTCCAGTTTCATTTCTATCACAACATTTTCTCAGCAGCCAAACAATCCAAACACTTCTAAAAAAGCTAGAAATTGAATCCAATGCATAAAAAACAACATAAAGCATACCTTTTTACGGCCAGCAGCAAGCAGATCGGTACGGTTCTTATTCTTGTCCATCCGATCTGCAGCGTTTTTGCTCCCTACCCTGAATTCGAATATATATCAGCAGTTAACCACCATTAGATCGTCCCTCTACAAAATTAGGAATCAATAATTATATCAAATAACACTGCAATTCACACACAATAATAATAATAATAATAATTCATGAAAACACAAATTCAATAGCAAATGCAAAACACAAAAACAAAAACAACCAAAATACAAGCATTTTTAGGAAACTGAGAGTGCATACCTTTGTGATTTGATTACACAGAGAGAGAGAGAGAGAGATATTGAATTGATCTGGTTGAGTTTGTTTGTTGGTTTGTTTAGGGTTCGTTGGTTGGTGAATGGTTTGCTTCGACTCTAAAGAAGGTCGCTTGCTCGCTCTCGCTTTCTTAGATCTAACACAATGAGATCGTCATTTGGGTAAAAATTTTGGGACTCGTCTGGTTGGTACGGCCAAAAATTATTAGACAATTAAAAATTATATAAGACCAATATTTCTGATAACCTTCTGCTCTGTAGGTTGTCTGGTATTATCCTTCCTAACAAAAACAGCAAAAAGAGTAGTAGGATTGGCAACAGGATTCAGCTGTTGTAATGACTCTGGAGATCCAAGCCTTGCTGCAAGCTATAGATAAGATCTCAATCAGAACCAGGCACAATCTGATTTAGCCACCATATCAAACAAAATGAATAGTCACAAACCAAAGAAATCTTGAGAAATTCATAAAAACTAAGAAATGAAAGCCTCATAATCCTCTAGAGAGATTGAAACAAAAATAAATAAATAAAAAATTAACATAACAGCAGATTTCAAAGAACAAAGGGTAAACACCAATTACTACATGCAATCCTTTCCAAGTAAGAACTCTTGAAGAAATTTTAATAAAAAGTAAGACCACGAGAACCTTTTTATACCCGAAGAAAAGGGGCACAAAAACAAGGAGTAGCTGCTGCTAAGCAAGAAAATAACAATTGGCACTAATATATGCATAACATACGCTCAAACCTAGCATAACAACAATTTAGAAAATAATGCATAACTAAATAATAACACTTACCTCTTCAGAATCAATAAGCCTCCAACAGCCATGACGTAACTCAACGAAAATCCTGCCAGACCCAGGATCATTTCGAGAAGAAGACGTTATAAACTGCCAGTAACGGTTCCGCCTGCGATCTTGCCCAAGAGGCAAAGACCTGTATACATACATCTCTTCTGCCTTATGACCAATATAAGATTTTAACTGCGACCATGACCTTTCAGCAGCATATCCAGGTTGCAGGAGTGAAAGATTATCTGTGCATGTAGAGACCTCTTGTATTTGTGGGTTCCGTTTGGAGGGCCTATGAATAGGATAGTTCGGGTCATTCTGTGCGTCATGAAGGTGCTCTTTCTGTTCTACAGGATTTGTTGATACCAAATTATTTGTCATCAACAGTAGGCAATGGGCTTTGCCTGCCCTCAACAGAAGAAATTTGAACATTTGGTTCAGTCTTGTCACTGATGCAAGATGGATATTGTATCTTCATCACATACTCCTCTTTCATTCGGCATTTATCAAGTTGTACCTCTGCCCACATTTGCTTCTTTAGAGCATTTGCGGCTTCCAAACATTCCTGAAAAACTCCCACATTTCATATCACAGACATGCAAAAGCAGAAAATAATAATAATAAAAAATACCCTAAGTCAAGAGAATACACAATATTACATCTAGAACAATGCGAATTGAGTTTCCTTCATTCGTAACACCAATTAAAGCAACAACGGCACTAAGGCGTTCCTCAACACTCAGATCAGAATACTCACCTTCCATAAGTCCTTGAACCCATGGTTCACCAGAGTTACTTTCATCAATAACCATGTCTTCTTGATCAAGAGTAGCTGCCTCATTGCAGATTCCAGCAACATCAATAGATTGATCAATAGAAGCACCAATGCTTTTTACCTCCTTGTACCCTTTAGACTGCATCAAAGGTGAACTATCACCCAAATTCTTAACACCACCTTCTGGAGTTTCCATCACCCAAATTCTTAAAATTGTATTTAACAATATTATTATGTGCCTTTTTTGTTGCATGATTGCTATAAAATGAATAAATTGCTAAAATTTATGAAAGAAGTGAATTAACTGTTCAATTTGCCATCATCACCATGAGATGAATTAAACACAAATCTTATGATCTTGCAGATTTTAACCTATCCAAACATTCAACCCACATAGCAGTTCCAAGAAAGAAAAACAATAGACAAGGCACAACATCCAATTAATATCATGACACTGTTTTTTACTGCATATCTGATTCAGAACCCCTAAATCCATACTACAACATAAAGAGAAAACAACCTCTTGCAGGTCCCTCCTACTTTAAAGTTGGTTCTCAAAGACCTCTCTCTCTCTCTCTCTCTCTCTCTGACTTCCCACTTAATTTATTTGTTATCTTCTTCCTCTCTCAATGTGAGTTACGAATGTGACTTACAAATTATAATGACATGCATTGCTCTTGCACAACTTCTAGCCAAATGAAGAGGAGTTTGGATACGTTTTCATACTTATTTTAATTGATTTATGGCATTGACTAAATATACATGCATACAGTTATGTACATAAATATGTGATATGTGATGTGCATAAAAGAGTCTACTGGACATCATAAGCATATTCATGAAGCAAATCAATCAATGACCTGTTCATTAATTTCATTGTACTTATTCTCAGCTACATTCTTTGATTCTTCTAGCATTGACTTGTCTACATCCCACCTGGCCTTGAGCTCATTCTGTTAAAATGCATGAAGATATAACAAATTAGAACATAATGTTGATGAAATGTGAAAAAATCACTAAACAAATGGATTCTTTTATGTAATTATGCCACCACAGACTGCATCATGAAAGCATTTAAAATAAAATAAAACAAAACAGGAGTTTATGCTTTGGGCCCAGAAAGAAAACAGAGAAATAGAAGAACTAAACTAACATAAGGAATGTATACATGGATTTCGGGGTTCTGAATCAGATATGTAGTAGTATGTATAAATCACAAACAAAACAACTAACCTCTGATCGAAGAAGCGAAAGAGTTTCAAATCCACAGAGATAAATCACGGCGCTGTGCTCAAAATGGAACTTCCAAATCGCAATCCCGAGATGAATCACCAACCAGAAGAAGAATCGAAGAACAATCACAGAGTAAGAGAGTGAAGAAGAATCGAGAGCCCGGGCTTAAGACCTATATAGAGCCCTAAACAAAATTATTCACTAAGAAAAACATTGATCCAAAACAGAGATAAATCACAAACAGGACAACTAACCTCTGATCGAAGAAGACGAATAGTTCCAAATCCATGGAGATAAATCACGGAGCTGTGCTCAAAATCGAAGAAGAATCACCGAACTGAAGAAGAATCGAAGAAGAATCACAGAGTAAGAGACTGAAGAACAATCGATCCTCTGATAGAAAGAGAGAGCCACAGAGTGAGAGAGTGAGTGAGTGACGGCTGTGCTCAAAATAGGGTTTTCAAAATAAAGGTTTGGAGAGGTTGATCGATACATAATAATCCAGTGCAGCTTTTGTGTTCCCATGCATGCTTGTAAAGTCCTCACCACTAAGAAATGTAGCTTTTGTAAAAAAAATTAGTGTAAACAAAGGTTAGCCCTCCAAGTTCCATAAGACCATCTCCGGCCGCCAAATAAATGTTTGTGTTTTTTGGGATGGAAAGAGCTTGAAGGATGAAAGCAGTCTCTTTAGGAGTGAGGGGGCATTTCCCACGGTTTCGCCAAACACGGGCAGCTTCTCCAGTCCAGGGTTTTCGATCTCCCTGTGCAGCCTCTATGGCTTCCATGGAAGTAGAAGAGAGGCCAGAATAGTTGCATTGGCTATAAGCTACCATGTCAGGTTCGAACCGAAGGTGAAGTGAGAGAAAGGGTTTGGGTATGGCTTGTAGAAGCTCAGAGCCTTTCTTCGCCAAGGCTCTGGTAAGGCATATTGTATTGTAACAAGCCTGACAATGGGCAGCCTTTGCATTCAGAGGATATCTACAATATTAAAACATAGGGATGCATCAGAAAGGACCTCGGAAAACATAACTTCATTATTTTTTCCAAGTTGCCAGCTGGAAAACAAATAACAAAACCATCATTGGACTAAAACAACATCACACACAAAGAAGAACAACCAACTCATCAAGAAGCAACTGCTACAGATAGAGGAATATGTTGTGCCTTTCCTATGACACATATTCAACAATAAAGGCTGAACCAAGGTTCATATAATCCAATAAAGAAAACCAACACAACCTATTAGCATTATTAATTTTAGAATATTTATACTAAATTAAAATAATCCTAATCAAATAATATATCAAAATTATAAATTCTAAAAATATAAAAATCTCTAATATCTTGTCCTACATCAGAATCTTTCTTCTATACAACAATGAAATTGTAAAAATTGTTAATTGAAAATACTATTAAAAATTATTAATTGACTTAATGGTTGATTAATGAAAATGATTATTTGTTATACAATTAGAAATTTTAAAAAGAAAAATGTAGTTTTCAAAATTATAGAAATAATTAACATTTTAAGTAAATCTCAAGAGTCACATTTGTAATTTATCCTAATATTTAACTATCCATCCTATTGTTTGTACTATCTATATTGTACCCTGACACTGCTGGAAAAATGACTTTTAGCGGCGTTTTAAAAACTATGAAATAGTTATTATTTATTTTACAATGAATTTTTTTATGATTTTTTGAATGAATCAAATATAAAATAAATGTTTTCAAAAAAAAATGTCATATTATTTCATTTCATTTAGTAAAATGTAATAAAATATTAGAGTCAGAACCCTACTAGTTTGCGCCATGCAGAGGCCTTTTTCACTAGTATGTATATATTTTTCTTTTTTTCACTCATTTGAACTTGAGAACGTGAGTTGGACCAGCACTTTTCAAAAACTAATGACACAAATTCTGAAGAGCCTGTGATGTTGGAACCAATCAAACACTACTCTCTCAAGAGGCTATAGCAGAATGAAAGTGATTCCTCATTGAGATTTAAATTGAGAAATAAACAAAATTAATGTAACCACCCCAATACCGGAGACAATTGAATACTTACCCACCCTACCATATACAAGTCATAATCTAAATTAATTTAAGAGAGAGTGAGAGAAAAAAAGAGCGAAAAGAGATAAACGAGAGAGAGAGATAGAGAGAGATGAGCGAGAGAGATAGAGAAATATGAGAGAGATAGAGAGAAGAGAGATGAGCGAAAGAGACAGAGAGAGAAAAGAGATGAGAGAAGAGATAGATGAGTGGGAGACATAGAGAGAGAGACAGATAGACAGAGAGAGAATAGTGATGAGTGAGAGAGAGAAAGAGAAGAGAGAGAGAGGGACAAAAAGATAGAGAGTGAGAGACAGAAAAAAGATAGAGAGAGAAGAGAGATGAACAAGAGAGAGAGATAAAGAGAAGAGAGATGAGCGAGAGAGACAGAGAGAAGAGAGATGAACGAGAGAGAGAGAAAAGAGAGATGAGCGGAGAGAGACAGAGAAAGATGAGAGAGATAGAGAGAAGAGAGATGAGCGAAAGAGACAGAGAGAGAAAAGAGATGAGAGAAGAGATAGATGAGTGAGAGACACACAGAGAGAGAGAGAGACAGATAGACAGAAAGAAAAGAGTGATGAGTGAGAGAGAGAATGAGAAGAGAGAGAGGAAGATGAAGAAATGGGTGAAAAGATATAGACAAAGAGAGAGAGAGAGAAAAAAAGAGCGAAAAGTGATAAACGAGAGAGAGACAGGGAGAGATGAGCGAGAGAGATAAAGAGAAGAGAGATAGAGAAGAGAGACAGAGAGAGATGAGAGAGATAGACAGAGAGAGAGACAGAGAAGAGTGAAGAGTGAGAGAGAGAGAGAGAAGAGAGACAGAGAGATATAAAAATCAAATTGAAATATTTTATACAATCACACCTATTTAGGGAGTGTGATTAAAAAGTAGTAATATATATATAATCACACTTTAATTAAAATGTGTGATTAAAAAATATATATATAATCACACTTGTTTAAAAAGTGTGATTAAAAAGTAGTAGTGTATATATAATCACACTTTAATTAGAATGTGTGATTAAAAATATATATATATAATCATACTTAATTGAAAAGTGACATAAAAAATAAATATTATCACACTCAATCAAATTAAGTGATTAAAATATCAATCTAATTTTTTTTATCACACTTCCAATAAAAGTGAGATCTTTTTTTTTGTCAAAGTGTGATCTTTAACTATTTTTGTAGTAGTGCATAGATCATTTCAAGGAGAAAAAGCAAAAGAAACTCCTTATAAGAGAAACAACAGGAGGATATTAGGATAACTTTTTGGGATACTCATGCCACCCATAATTCAACGTCATAGAACTGACTAATAAAAACTACGAGGTATAGCGCATAATTTCAGCTTAGAGTACAATTCATATTTTTATAAATGAAGTGGAAGACAGGTTTCAACGACCCCATCTATGGAGTTTCATAATTGGAAGAGAACGAAACTTTGCATAGCTTTCAAAGTTGGGCAATTAAATTAGCAGAATAGCATGAGTTAGGCATGCTAACATTTTTTTATTGCACTGTCATCCATAGCCTTGTATTCCATATTCTTCAAAGCAAGTTCTACACCATAGCCACCCAAGTTTACTGGATCATTTGTACCAACAGCTGCACAATGGCCACTTTTTGATTGACAACCAGAAGGCAATACAGGTCTAGCAACGTACTTGACTTTTCCCTGGAAGTCAACAGCATACTCCATTAGAGTAAAAGAAAAATCAAAGAATAATGTCTCAAAATTCAAAAATAAGAATGCATAAAGAATTGAATTGTTACATTGAAATGAATATGCTACTCCAAGTACATATATAGATTACCTAAATCAACAAAAAGCTGTACACTGCCGGACAGAACTTTAGGTTAAAAGTAGCACAGCTTTTGGTAGTATTTTCAGTCAGATCCCCTACATAACTTTTGTGTGTTGTCCGAAAATCCCATCAGATAATTAAATCAAATACAATAGAGTCGTACAAAAAAAGAACAATAGAAGTATGAAATCAAAGAGAGAGAGAGAGAGAGAGAGAGGGAGAGAGGTACATGTACGATTGAGATTTTTTCTGCACATCAGCTAGTTTTACAATTCCAATATACATGCAATCTTTGTGGCACTTCTAATGGATTTACTAAACAAAGAAAACGATAAAAGAAACTACTGAAGCTTGTAAACGACTTATGAAGTTATGATGTCTTTATATCTAATTATACTATACACTCACTCTAGTCTATCCTAGAAAGACTACCACTCTGTCTGAGACATGGACTTGTGCGTAGGAGTATCCAATGAGTTTTTGATAACCAGAATGCATGTGGGGAAAAATACAACTCAATTATGTGATAAATGGGAATCAATCACTAAAGCAGCCTGATGTTAATCTATTTTGACAAATGCTTACTCTAAGTATGGAAAAATCTATAGTTACTGATGATGCACTAGTAGTAGCACAACCCTATGAAATAGCTCACCAATAGGTACATAAAAAATGTAGTAACAAGGAAAAATAATATAGCTTAGCATCAGGTAGTGGACCTCTTTGGCAGCTGCCACCAATGCGACATGAAAGTCGCTCAATGGATGCAGTTCTTTTATTTATGTTAATTTATATTGGTAAATGCTTCCGTTCAGGCCCCATATGATATATATACCAGGTTATGCGTCCGTTTCTGTGTAGGTCATGCCCAAACTTTTAGGGGCAAGTTTGGGGCATGACAGGAAGTCCAGTTGCAAGAGCACCATACAATATTGCAACTGGACTTCCTGTACTTGAATCAAAATGGATGTGATCAAATTCATAACGTTCTAGTTGCTGAAATGAATTGGGAATAAAACATGTATTGTCAAGGGTGCAAAGTGAGAAGTAAATGACTTACATCTGATTTAGATTTTTTTATACATAATTATAAATAATAATAAAAAATACTTCTACTTTGAAAAATGTGGAACAGGACTTACGATTCCTTAGGGCTATGAAGCCATGTTTGGAACTCTGAAACATCAAAAAAGAATGCCCCACCAGTATCCACCCAGCAACACTCCCCCCCAGGACTTCTTGGGTTCATGCCAACAAGCAATGGTTCAACCTTCTTGCTTTCCACGTTTTCATTTGTTTCGGGAATCCCTCCGTTGACAGATTGAGAGTTAATATCATCATACAGGGGGAAAGAAGAAAGAGACTCCACTGCTAATTGCCGGTACAGCACTAATCTTGGGGATGTTGATCGCAGAGTAAGAGAGAATTCAAAAAGTGATGCTAGAGGTTCACTTAATAAAGATTGCCCATATTTAACAATTTTCTTTAAACAATCTTTGGCTGTTTGTGAATCAGCATCCTCATTGTGATGCCAGACCTCAATGAACTCCCAAAAATAGTCTTTCCATTCTTTAGAAAGCAATTCACTATCAAATAATACAATAAAGTTAGTAAGCACTCAAAATTGAAGAACTGAATAGGGAAGTCGCTTTGCAATTAATCAATAGTTAGCTAATTAGCTCAACTTCCAAATTCCAGTGGCAACTATTGGAATTACTGTTTGGGTAAGGCTACAGAAATCAGTTTTTTATCACCATTCAGCTCTATACATTATTGTACAGTCTTGCGGGGATAAGATGGGGAGAGGACTTTATGAGATGGGAAAGGTCCAAATCCAGAACGTTTGGGACGAAATCATACTATAATTTCATGAAAAGAAGTATGCTATTTTTTATTTTTTTTTTCGTGTGAACTGCAACTCTTGAAAAATTCTCACGTTGAACAATTTCATCCTGATAAAAACAATCTCCCACCCTTTGATCAAATTGAGGGTAAACCAAATCATTCATCAAATTTCCATCTGTCTTATTTTTACTGAAAAATAAGGATTCTAAATTATTTTCTTTCATAACAAGATGTTCACATAACCGGGTGACCCATAAAGGGACCAAATTGGCTTTAAGCCCAGTTCTTGTATGTATGGACTCAAGAGGTGGTTCGCATTGCAGCACTTAGTTTCGTACTAGGAATCAGTAGTTCTTGAAGACTGAACAATTCATATTATGTCATAGCAGAAACGAAGTGAATAAACATAACATAATAATGCCAGGTTCATACAAATACCGTTCACAATGGTGCACATAAATTTCCCTTTATGATTCATTACATGTAGCCATAGTCATCTTACATATAACAAAGTATTAATAATAATTATTTGCAGAAACACATGTGTCGTTACAGTACTATTCATGGGGATAGAACAATTCACACCATAACGTGAGTCATATAACAATGTTATTGATATTCAATTCTTTGACGTATAAGGAAACCCATGGTTCTGTTCGATTTTCATTTCGTTAATCCATTTTAGGCAGATGTCTATGTCATAAAACATGTATCGAACTAAATAAGGCTGTAGGAGTCCAGGATAGGACGTTCAAAATATCATGTTCCCATTAAGAGGGGTTTATATTCATAATCCCCTTCTTGCCAACCAGTTGCATAATATTAATAATTCTTGTGCAGAGTTATAGGTAATTTACAGGTTATTATACATTAAGGATAACCATTAACCATAACCAGAATGTAGAGTAGTTTCAGCGTCATACCGAAGTGCACATAATCTTTCAATGTTCTCACCGATCCCTAAACAACATAAATGCTTACAAAGAACAGTGCGTTAACAATAAGAATTATTTACGGTAAGTAAACATACGATTGCAGAACTACTACTCACAGTGATCGGTTCCCGGTGGTATTAGGACGATATCCTCGTCTCGACCTACAAGTACAGTGCACAACACATAATATGAGATTATACTCGATCATTTACTTATTCTCTTTGATCATTCAATCAATTAGCCATGGTGGTACCAAGCTCATTATTTCTTAATATGTTATACTCCATGTCACAGAAATAGGAGAAATCAATGGAAAATGGTTTAGGTGAAGAAATGGTATAAAATTAGTTGACAGAAAGTGAACAGTTGTCACTAATTTGGGCATAACTATTTTTGTATATATAATTTGGGAGTGAGACCACTTCCATTGGAAACTAGACTTCTGGGGCTTGATTTTAGGCTCAAGAATCACTCAAAACGGAGCCCCGAGGAAAAAGATATGCTTATTCAAAGATGGCTGGACAAAGCTGTCTCCCGCACGTGCGGGAAACAGGGCCGCACATGCGGCTCTGGGCAGTGTGTAGTCCGAAAATGGCTCTTTTTGCTCTAACACTTGGTTTTTCCATTTTTAAGCTTGGTTCTTATCATAAATCACTCAAAAACATGTAGAATTGCCCTATAACATGATAAACTAACATCAACCAAGTGTAATTTCATTTCAAACAATTCAATCTTTGTCTCAAAGTTCAAGATTAATGCTTAATCTTTCATGATCTTCAAGGTTCTTAAAAACACAACCCACAACCCACAAATTCACATGATTCTTGCATAATCTAAAGTTTATTTCATGATATCCATGAGCTTGAGCTCCACTCATAAACAAAATTAAAGAACTCAATTTCTAATTCCTCAAATTAGCTCAAGTAAATACATAGATAAACCTTAACCCCAAATGGGTTTAAATCTTCCAAGATCTCTATGATTTTACCAAATTGATACTTTAAACACAAGATTTTAAGATAGATTTTCATACCTAACTCAATCTTTGTCTACCTCTTAGCTCTCTTCAATTCCTCCAAGTCCCATCGGTGATCTTCTTTCTTTCCTTCAATTCTCTTCCTTCATCTTCAAAGCCTCCATGGATGTTGAGAAAATTGACACTCTTCCCTCTCTCCCTTTCACGGTTTCCTCTCTCTCTGTCTTTAGATATTTTGTTTTTTGACTCCAAAAGTATGAGTTCACCACTTATATAACTCATACACACCTATATATTAATTATACAAGCTTTATCACAAATAAGGAGGGCCAAACACGCCCTTATGAATCGCGAAAAATTAAATTTCAATTAAACTTTCCAGATGACTCTAAAAATTATGATGATCATAAATATGTCCCATATTCTGATTTCTGAAGCCTCTAAGGCCTTCAATTTGCAGTACAAAGTTAACCACCCAAACGCACATTAACAAATCAGACAAATTAGATTTCCAATTATGTTTCCCAAATAGTTCTAAAAATTTTCATTAACACATCCAAGTCCTCAATTGTGATTTCTGAACCCGTAAAGGTCGGTAATTTCAATTTTACAGTCGTGGCTCAACAAATAATTCCTCAATTTGAACACATATCAATAAATCAAAATGCATTAACCCAATAGGCCGTAAAGGTAATCTGTAATACGGATTTTGGGGTCGTTACACCCGTGGTGGTACTTACAAAACATAATTATATATAAGGTCACAGCCAAATATTCTTTAAAATATAAACAAACATATTCATGGGTTTCCTTTTAAGCAAATTGGGCTCAGAAGATAAACCACGTAACTGAAACCTTTATAAAACATAACTTTTATTAAAAACATAACTTGTATAAAACAGATTTTGGTAAGTTAAAACATACGTAAAATACATTTTGGTGACTCAAGGTATAATATAACTCACCTTAACTTTGATACCCCACTCTTTCTTTTCATTATCAAAGACCTTTTTAGCTTCCACCATTTCTTCTTTCTTTCTCTCCTTTCTTTCTTCCTTTTCTTTCTTCTTTCTTTTTCTTTCTTCTTTTCTTTCCTTCAGCCGAATCATCTCCTATTTATAAGGAGGTGAGACCATTGCTTGGCCAACACGTCGCCGGGCCGTCCCTTTCTCCCAAATTCGATAATAATTATAAAGATTCATTCTTATCTTTGATAGATATTTAAGATAATTACTTTTTGACCCAATATTTTAATATCATTATATAAATAATTTAATTTCTAATTAAATTATACTTTATCGTATACCAACAGAAAATTAATTATTTATTTTAGAACCACACCCATTATTATTATTATTAATATTCGAAATAACCACGGATCGTTAGTTAGGCCAAAACATTTGCATAAACAAATCATTTAAGTAGCAGAAATTGAAATACAGATATTATATAAATATATAACCATAACCACGGTACAGAACAAAACAGAACAGAGGTCACTGAAGTGACAGTCAGAACAGAGGTACGGATTCAAGAGGTGGCTCATACGGATTCTAGAGGTGGCTCCCACAACAGTGTAGCCCTTAGCTCCGCACAACACTTTGGTCCGCACAGAACAGAGGTCAATAGATCAGAGGGCCACAAAGTAACCAAACAGAGGCCAATGGTTATTTAAGTCCCCCAAGGC